CCTGGACTTCTCGTTAAACAGTGGGTGGTCAGCAGGTTAAAAAGGTCTCAGGTCCTCCATGTGGCTATGGCAGTAAATTCACCCAGAGACTAAAAGAATATCCCCAAGACCAAAAGAAAAACCGCAACATGGACACTGAAAAGTTTACTCCCAACACTGGGAAGGCTTGAGTGTGCCTTTTTTCCTTTTGTTTTTGAGGTCGTCTCACTGTTTAGCTTTCGCTGGCCTGGAACTTGGCACACAGATCAGGCTGGTCTGAAGTTCTCAGAGATCAGCCTGCCTCTGCTTCCTGAGAGTTAGGGTTAAAGGTGCCTGCCATTTAACGGCAACTTTCTGTGTACATGCGGGAGCCCGTGCCCATTTGTGCTAGGCCAGAAGTTGGCTTGGGTGTCTGTTTCTCTAGTCCTCCGCCTTGTGCTTTGGGACGGTGTGCTGGCCAGCGGGCTCCACTCTGCTCCCAGCACTGAAGTCACAGGCACAAGCTGTCACACCCATCTTTATGTGGGTGCTGGGCATCCAGGCTCAGCTCCTCCTGCTTGCATGGTAGGCATTTTACCAGGTGAGCCATCTCCCTGGATCCCTAACCGCAATTAGAGGGACTTTTAACAGAAATCATCTGTTGGATATGTCTGTCTTGTGACAATCCATCGAATTTAAAGATGGAGGGGGTCAGATGAAAAATGGTAGGTAGCAAAAAGTATTAAAGATGAACAATAACACTGACAGAAACTGTTTTGCGTGCCAAAAAGATATGAGTGGTGTATTTTCGGATCTCCTTGAAAAGGAAGGCATAAATTTCGAGCAGGAACAACAGGCAGGGTTTTCTGATTACTCCATTATTTAAGTAATCAAAAAGAGTGGATCAGGAGAGCAGTGGTAGGAGATAGGGGTTTCCTGCCGATTTACCAGGAAATGATGACACTGACAAACAGCACTGCCACGACTGTGTGTCATCAGGCCAAAGGGTTCATGGTAAAGAGAACTTGGAATGCCCTAAATTGCTTCAGTTCCAGAAAGAAAAAAAAATGGCTTTCAAAATCTGATGATTCTAAAAAATGTTTCCTTGTCCTGTTGAGCCATGATTTTGAAGGCTGCCCAAGTCTTCCAGAACTGCAGAGTGTGAAGACAAGTGTAGGGGAGAAAAAGTCTACATTGTCCTCCTGGGTTTGATATGGAAAGTTACAGTGTCCAGAGTGCTCGGCCAACACTGCCCGAGGGAAGGGGCATTCTTAAGAGCTTTCTGGCAGTTACTTAAAAGGTAGTGTAGGGCCAGTATGATGGCTCAGAGGGTAAACCTGCTTGCTGAATAGGCGTTGGTAGTGCACGCCTTTAATCCCAGCACTCGGGAGGCCAAGGCAGGCGGATCTCTATGAGTTCAAGGCCAGCCTGGTCTACAGAGAGAGTTCCAGGACAGCCTCCAAAACAATACAGAGAAACCCTGTCTCAAAAAAAAAAAGAAAGAAAGAAAGAAAGAACTGGCTGCTCTTCCAGAGGACCTGGGTTAAATTCCCAGCACCCACATGGCAGTCACAGCTGTCTGTAATTCCAGTTCCAAGGGACCCAACACCCAAACACCAAGGCACATTTTTTAAAAAGGTTATTAAGAATACAACTGGAGGGGCTGGAGAGATGGCTCAGAGGTTAAGAGCACTGGCTGCTCTTCCAGAGGTCCTGAGTTCAATTCCCAGCAACCACATGGTGGCTTACAACCATCTGTAATGAGATCTAGTGCCCTCTTTTGGTGTACAGGAATACATGCAGGCAAAAGACTGTACATAATAAGTAAATCTTTTTAAAAAAAAAAAAATACAACTGGATGCTACTCAGTTGGTAGAGGGCTTTGTAGCGTGCACAGAAGCTCAGGCTCCACCCCAGCATCACATTAACAGGCTTAGTAGCACACGTGATAATGCCATCACTAGGGAGGCTGGGGGCTGGAGGATCTGTTGAGTCATCCTTGGCTGACCAAGTTTGAGGCCAGCCTGTCTTTGAATAAATAAAACCTATAGTTTGTATTTTTTGCAAAAGACTCTTCGAGAATTTTTTGGGTTTGTTTGTTTTGTTTTTGTTTTTCAAGGCAGGGTTTCTCTGTATTGTTTTGGAGCCTGTCCTGGAACTCGCTCTGTAGACCAGGCTGGTCTCAAACTCAGAGATCCACCTGCCTCTGCCTCCCGAGTGCTGTGATTAAAGGCGTGCGCCACCACTACCCGGTCAACTCTACCAGAGTTGGTTGAGTCCTGTTAAACATTTACTGTAGTGCGGCATGGTTGCCACAAACTCCAGCACTTGGGGAACAGAGGCAGACAGATCTTTGTGAGTTCAAGGCCAGCCTGACCTACTTAGTTCCAGGCCAGCTAAGGCTGATTAGTGAGGGCCTGTGTCAAAAGACTTCTACTGCAAGTATTTCTGAGCCAAGAAAATAACAGATGCTTCCAGCAGAAACAGGAGGGGAAGTTTTGAGAACTCTGGCAGGAAGCCTGTGAGGAGTAAGAAGTGAGGAGCAGGAAGTCTCAGCTGTGCAGCCCTGCTGAGACTAGTCCTCCCTGACATGGTGCTGTGTGCGCGGTCTCTGGCCAGGCCTGGCCCCCAGGGCTCTCACCTTCCGCCTCTCTGCCGTGCCCATAGGTCTTCTCGTGGGCACCCTGGATGTGGTCCTGGACTCCAGCGCCCGTGTGGCTCCTTACCGCATCCTGCATCAGACCCAGGACTCACAGGTCTATTGGACGGTGGCTTGTGGTAAGTGCCCTGAGTCATGAGGTCACGCTGGGAGGGAGGGGACAGGAAACCTACTTTCTTGTGAGCTCCTGGGGACTTAGGCTTGGACTTCACTAGAGCCCGTGTTCTCTCTTCCGCCTCGTCTCAAGGGAGGTACAGTTGGACCTCATAGTTTGAAGATTCAGCGCTTTCAAATTCCGCTTCTTTCTCGGATTCACTTGTAGCCTCCTCATTGACACAATTAGCATTTTGATGCTCGAATTTTTTCTCCGGGGATGGCCTGGGTCCCCAGCTGAGCTGGGTCAGGACAGCTCTTGGCCTTCTTATTTTGTCTCTCTACTGGAAGCACTCTGTGGGGTGACACGTTTTCCTGTCTGTCTGCTCTGTGTTGATTTCACTGATGAGGAAGAGCCCCAGTGAGAGTGCTAGAACACTGCCTCCTCTCCTCAGTGCAGGAAGATGGGGAACCCCTCAGAAAGAGGGCCTTCGAGAAGCTTGCGGAAGGCCGGGGTGCCCCTCAGAAAGAGGGCCTTCGAGAAGCTTGCGGAAGGCGGGGTGCCCCTCAGAAAGAGGGCCTTCGAGAAGCTTGCGGAAGGTCGGGGTGCCCCTCAGAAAGAAGGCCATCGAGAAGCTTGTGGAAGGTCGGGGTGCCCCTCAGAAAGAGGGCCTTCGAGAAGCTTGTGGAAGGTCGGGGTGCCCCTCAGAAAGAGGGCCTTCGAGAAGCTTGTGGAAGGTCGGGGTGCCCCTCAGAAAGAGGGCCTTCGAGAAGCTTGTGGAAGGTCGGGGTGCCCCTCAGAAAGAGGGCCTTCGAGAAGCTTGTGGAAGGTCGGGGTGCCCCTCAGAAAGAGGGCCTTCGAGAAGCTTGTGGAAGGTCGGGGTGCCCCTCAGAAAGAGGGCCTTGCAGAAGCTTGCGGAAGGCTGGGGTGCCCCTCAGAAAGAGGGCCTTGCAGAAGCTTGCGGAAGGCCGGGGTGCCCCTCAGAAAGAGGTCCTTGCAGAAGCTTGTAGAAGGTCGGGGTGCCCCTCAGAAAGAGGGCCTTGCAGAAGCTTGTGGAAGGCCGGGGTGCCCCTCAGAAAGAGGTCCTTGCAGAAGCTTGTGGAAGGCCGGGGTGCCCCTCAGAAAGAGGGCCTTGGAGAAGCTTGTGGAAGGTCGGGGTGCCCCTCAGAAAGAGGGCCTTGGAGAAGCTTGCTCAGGAATGAACCCCAGTGCTACCCATCCAGTCCATTCAAAGCATCATTAAATAGAAAAACGCAGGAGAGAAAGTCATACATTAGTGGGTTGATGAAATATTGAGACCTTCACCTTGCGCTTAGCCTGGGATAATGGTTGAGCAGTCTCTAACTCAGTGTTTGAGGGACCTTGTGGCACATATCCACAGGACTCCACTGTAGCTGCTGTGTTTAGATCAGATGAGGCGAGCCCGCCTCCACCTGTGCAGGAGGACGGTCAGTGTGCGCCTGTCACGCTGAAATGCTCCCGTGTTCAGACATCACTTCCTGTGTGACAGGCACTCACCTGAGCCTCCTCACAGGTACTTCAGTCCTCTCTGATTTGAAGATGAGAAAACTGTGGCCCAGAGCAATCAAGTACCTTGTTAGCACCGCACAGAGTAGCAGCTCAGGCCCCAGACACCTGCTCCTGTGGCAGCAGATACCTCTCTGGTTACAAGCCATGCTGTTACCATCCTGCAGGATCCTGGTTTTCCTTGGAGGCCTGGGAAAAGATAACAGGTCTATAAAGTTTGTGAACCTCAGCCAACTGTGGTGATACATGCCTATAATCTCAGGCTGGGGTGTGAGGATCATGAATATAAAAACCAGCTTGGGTGATTTAGCAAACCTCTATTTTAAATAAATAGGAGATAAGGGTGTAGCTTGGTGAGTGTGTATCTAGCAACATGAATTCCTGCATTTGGAATTTCAGCACTACATAAACTGGGCATGGTGGTACACACCTATAATCCCAGCACTTGAGAGGTTCAGGGATTCTGTCATCCTTGGTTCCTTAGCAAGTTCAACATGGGCAACATGAGACCTTGTTTCAAAAAATAAAAGCCAGGCAGTGGTGATTCAGGCCTTTAATCCCAGCACTCTGAAGGCAGAGGGAGATGATCTCTGAGTTCGAGGCCAGCTTCATTTACAGAGTAATTTCCAGGACATCTAGGGCTACACAGAGAAACCCTGTTTTTTGTTTTTAAAGGCATTTAAAAATAAGATCAAATAATTGAAATAACATAAAGGACTAGAAGTGTAGCTGAGTGGTAGAGCACTTGCCTGGCGTGTGTGAGGCACTGGGCTAACATCTCAGCACAGGATGGGGAGTGGAGGTTGGAGGGTCAAGGGATTAGAAGCGCAGGCAGGCAGCAACCTGGGAATAGAGTCCTCTGCCCCAGGTGGTGTCACAGCCCCTCCTCCTCGGCACCCTGAACTGCAGTGGCTGGTCTGTGGGAACAAGTGAACCATGTGAATTAGAGAGGCCAGTGTGCCCCAGGCCAAGTGGAGAAACCCAGCAAGACCCCAGACCTCCTGGTTCTCAGACCCACAGTGGGTACCTTCAGGAAATGGGATTCCTTGTTCGGTGTGTTCCACCCAAGGAGACAAGTTACATTTTTTAAAAAAACATTAATTTAATGTGTGTGCACACATGCTGTGTACACCAAGGCTGGCTAGCCCAGGAGCTTCCAGGTAGTTTTCCTATCTCTGCCTCCCATCTCTCTGAAGGAGTGCTAGCATTGCAGATGCATGCCATCAAATCCAGCTTGTACATGGGTTCACCGGATCAACTCAGGCCAGTCAGCTTGCGTACATAGAGCTCTTACCCACTGAGCCGTCTTCCCACCCAGCAGGTTACTCAGCATGGGCCTTGAAGAGTATGTCCCTGCCTCAGTGTGTCCCTGACACCAAGGGTGGCAGCAGGGGAGGGGTGAGGAGAATGGGGAGGGTGACAGCCTGTCAGTGCAGTAGGGACTGGAACTTAAGTCCTGGCCGTACTGTAAACCCCAAGTCCTGGTTCACACCACACCGTTTCCCTTTCCTCTCACACCTGGTCTCACCTGTGCCTCCCTCCCCCACTGTCTCAGAAGCAGCTTTCCAACACCAGATGTCCTGCTGGAACCTGCCCAGCAAATCCCAGTCTCTCCCCCCTGGGTATTCAGGATGTCCAGAATCGACCCACCTTCATTCCCGGACTCCTCCCCAGCTATGCCCTGGTAGTCACCCCTGTAGAGCCTGTGGTTTCCCACCAGCCCTGTGCTGGCTTCCGCACAGTGTCTCTTCTGCTCTGTTGAGTAATCAACTAGATGTCACCTCCCCAGATTCCTCAGACCCACACAGCTACTCTTCCTACTCCTCTGGGCTTGACCTGGCTGTCCCTGGCTGTCCCACTGCTCTTACAAGAACTCCTAAGGATGAGAGGAGGCTACGCCAGGCAGCCTGAGCTTTCGAGTGGCCTTGGTTAACATACTGAACCTCCCTATGCCTCAGCTTCATACGGCAAGGCGTCCCTAAGGGGCCCTAGATGAAGTGAAGGGAGATCAGTTGGCAGTTCTGAAAACAGGAGTGACACTCAATAGTCTAATTAGCTACTGCATTCTTTTTATCCCCAGCACCTGGCAGAGATGATGTAGTTTGTGTCCTTCATGTTAAATGAGTGAATTTCTTTTAGCTAAGTGTATATATAAACATTTGTAATTAAAATACAGATGCAAACAGACAGAATGACAGTTTCATCCATCTAAGGTCGCTGGGAGTGTGTGTATAAAAGAAAATGATCCTTGGGCTGGTGAGATGGCTCAGTGGTAAGAGCATCTGCTGCTCTTGCAGAGGACCCCATTTGGTTCCCAGCACCCACGTAGTGGCCCACAACCACCCAAAACTCCAGATCCAGGAGATCCAACCGACTTCTGAGCTCTGGGGGCACACAGTGGTGTACATACATGCAGGCAAAACATTTCTACACATAAATCTGGCAGTGGTGGCACAAGCCTTTAATCCCAGCACCCAGGAGGCAGAGGCAGGCCATCTCTGAGTTCCTGGTCTACAGAGTGAGTTCCAGGACAGCCAGGGCTACACAAGGAAATCCTGTCTCACAAAACCAAAATAAAATAAATCTAAATTAAAAAAAAAAGAAATGATACTAAGAGTTGTGTGATACATTGATTTAACTTCTGAATTTGAATGTGGGTTCTTGGCCAAAAACAGAAAAGGCAGAAAGAAATCCACTTTGACGGGGGTTGGTGGCACACGTCTTTAATCCCAGCACTCAGGAGGCAGAGGCAGATGGATCTTTGTGAGTTTGAGGCTAGCCTGATCTACACAGTGAGTTCCAGGACAGCCTCCAAAGCTACCGAGAAACTCTGTCTCGAACCCCCCCAAAAAAAGAAAAAAGAAATCCCTTTCTACCAACCAGACCTGACCTCTGTGCACCAGGAGGAGGAGACTAAGAATGCAGAGAAAAACCAGGAACAGAAAATAGTGACTAAAGGAGCTTGCTTACAGAGACGCAGTTCTCCAGGGTGACTCACATCTTACTGTGGGTGTCCTCCCAGAGGCCATCAAGGGAGAGGCTCCATGCTGTGGGACTGCTTGTCTGGTTAGTGAGCTGCTTGGACCAAACCAGGCCCTTTGAATGTGGGTGACAGTTGTGTGGCTGTGCAACCACTGGCAGCAGGACCAAGATGTATCCCTAGTGCATGAACTGGCTTTTTGGAGCTCATTCCCTATGCTCTGCCTAGATAGAGGGGGAGGCCTTGATCCTGCCCTAATGTGGTGATGGCCTCACCCTCTCTGAGCAGTGGACAGGGGTAGTGGGGTCAGGGAAAGGTGGAGGGAGGGGGAATTGGGATTGGTATGTAAAAATAAAAAGCAAACCAGCCATCCCTAACAAAGGCCATCCAGGCTGCAGCGGGACTGTGAGCAGGGCTGTAGGTGGGAAGGCGTGGAGACCACCAGGAAGGGGTCAGGGTCACCTGCTCAGCTGCTACAAGGGTTTTGCCAATTAGAAAAATGTCTTCTTCAGGGCTGGGGGTGTGGCTCAGTAGTGAAGCATTTTCCCAGAATACCCTAGGTTCTGTCCTCTGATTGATAGGCCATTGTGTGTGGGCATGACTGCTTTTCCTGCCAAGGTCCATGGACTGCTCCGCCCAGGCACAGCTGAGAATATAAAATGCTCCCTCCTCCCATCCTTGTAGTCATCCATTCTGAAAGGTTTTCCAGTGTAGGTATTTCCTTTGCCTCCTAGGGCTGCTCTTCTGAGTCTTTAATGGGAGCAGACAATCCCCAGCCTTTGGGAGTAACAGTACCTCCTTCTCCAAGGCCGCCAGCTTCCAGTGGATCTGCAGTGCCCAGACAGACAGCTCTGTTCTTGGGGGAGGCCAGCAGGAAGGCAGTGACCATTTGCCTGTCCTGCAGAGATTCTGTCAGCTGGGCAAAGAAGCTTGGGGAGTTCACAAGCTTGTGACCACACAGATTGTCTCTAGAAGGTTGGGGATACAGAGCCAGATGTCCCCCTCGGTGCTGGGGAGGGGAAGGCTCTGTAGTTCATTTTTTGTTTATGGCCTCTATGTATAATAGGAAGTTAAGCAGGAAAGGCTGATCTTTATCGAAGACCATGGTCCCTCATGTAGATAACGTGGGGCCCATCTCCCCGCTTTGAATCCTGAGACCTAATGATTTCATCTGCCCTCGCTAAACTAGGTTCTTCCCGCAAAGAGATCACCAAACACTGGGAATGGCTGGAAAACAACTTGCTGCAGACACTGTCCATTTTCGACAGCGAGGAAGACATCACCACCTTCGTCAAGGGCAAGATACACGTAAGGCTCCCTTTTTGGGGTAGCAGTGGTCACACACAATTCGTGATCAGTACCTATGGGCTGTGCTTCCATGGAATCAACTGTGAGTCAGAAATAGCTGAAAGAATTACATCTGTGCTGAACATGAAGACTTCTGTTGTCCGTCTGTCCTAAGCGATCCAGCCGAGGGGAGCATGCGTACTGAAATGAGCTGAAGCATGCAGGAGGGTGGGCACAAGCTATACACAAACTCTGTCCTTTTATAGAAGAAACTGGAGCATACAGATTGGTGTGCCTCTGGGGGTCCTAGAACCAATGCCCTGCAGATTCCAAGAACAGAGCTGTCTTGTTTTTAGACAACCTGCTGTAGGTTTTGTTCCCATTTCACAGGATGGAAACTGAAGCGTCCTCTCATTTTCTGATGGTTCAAAGGGCCATGGAAATGATTGTCCATTGTTCTAATTGGGATCTTGAATGTCCCCCAAAGACCAGGGGTTGACTGTTTTATTTCTCAGCCTGTGGTCTTATTGGAAGATGCTGGGCTCTTGAGGAAGTGGGAACTCAGGGAAGGCATTAGGCATATGGAGATATACCTCTGAATGGGGGCTTTCTTTGATTCTTGGTCACCACAGGGTGGACAGACCTCTTTGGCTATACACTCTCCACCATGGTGTACCGCGCCATCACAGGCTCAAAGCCTGTGTTGCAGCCATGAGTGGAAAATTCTGGATCCATCAGGCCAAATGAAAGATAAGCCTTCCTTCCTCTTACACTGATTATCTTGGGTGTTTGTCAGAGAGCTGACCCACACACCTGTGGAGCCCGTGCCTTAGCTGGCCTCTGGAGTCTGAAGGTTAACCTGGAGTTTGTATTCCTTATGAAATGACACAGAACAAATATGCAGGTGTGTAGTTGTGTTCACCAGGGCCTTAGCCAACAGGGGAAGATATTGGAAATCTTGTTTTGTTTTGTTTTTTCTTGGTATATTTCTTTTTGTTTGAAACAAGGTCTTCTCTGTGTAGCCCTGGTTAATGTGCAAGTCTTATGTAGACCAAGTAGACCAGACTGACCTTGAACCCAAAGAGCTCTAGCTTTGCCTCCCAAGTACTAGGATCAAAGGTATGTGCCACCATGTCCAGCTTTCCTGTTGTTGTTGTTTTGCTTTTTTGAGACACAAACTTGGACAGTTCATGTTTGCCCTGCCTAAACTTGCAATGTAGTTAAGGCTGGCTTTGAGCTCCAAGTGCTGCAATCGGGCTATACACCACCATACACAGATGAAATAATAACGTATCTTAGAGTTTAAAGGTGCATACCAGCCAGGTGTGGTGGCACACACCTTAAATCTCAGCACTCAGGAGGCAGAGGCAGGTGGATCTCCGTGAGTTTGAGGTCAACCTGGTCTACAAAGTGAGTTCCAGGACAGCCAGGGCTACACAGAGAAACCCTGTCTCGAAAAACAACAACGACAACAAAAAGGCCCTTACCTTTTTATGCAGCCCTTCTTGGGGCGTGCCCCGTGGTGTAGTCAGAGACGCTCCCTGCAGCCTCAATTAGCCCGAGCACTGGAAGCAGTGGCTTCCAGTCCCACAAGAGGCAAATGCTCTTCCTTCCTCTGCAGTCAGAGAACAGTCATCTTGCTAACATTTTCCAGTATCTTCTAAGCGCTTATTCTACTCAGTGCATTATCTTCAGGGGAGTTATTAAGTCATGTGTGGTATGCTTAATAGATTAGTTTATAGCCAAATAATGATTATGAAGGCAAGCGTAATAGCACACACCTGTGATTCCAACACTCAGGAGGCAAGTAGAAGCTTGTGGTGATTCCCAGGCAGACCCTTGCTGCATGAGGTTTGACAGCAGAGTTACTTTCAGCAAACCTTGTGAGTTCTATCACATTGGAACGCCATAGACCTGAACAGACGGGACAGAGTTTCTTAGCCCGTCTTTGCACACACTGGGGTTCAAGGCAGGACCTATGTTGTTTTACAGCCCCAGGGAAGCAGGCAAAGTCAAGCTGCTACTCTCCTGTTGGGTAATAGTAGTAATGGTAGCAGACTTACCACATATCTTCTAAATGCTAGCCCTAACAAACACATCAGCAGGACACTAACATTCAGAATGACTCTGAGCTCAAAGAAGACAGGACATTAGTTCATTTGTTAACTGTAACAAGTACCCTGGATAATCAGCTTATAAAGCAAAAAGATTTTTTTGTTTTGCTTTTTTGGAGAGGTTTGTTTTTGTTTTTGCTTTATTTATAGATCTGTTGGGTTTTGCCCTTTTAGCCTCTGTTGGCACATTGTGGTCCAAGTGTGTGACGAACAAACCTGCTCAACTCACAGCCAAGACATGGAAGAGAAGGGAGGGAATTAGGGTGCCCATAGTCTTAAATTAAAAAAACAAAACAAAACCGGGTCTCACAATGTAACCCTAGCTAGCCTAGAACTCACTGTATAGATCACACTAGCTTCAAACTCGCAGCCTGCCTTGCCTCCTGAGTGCCACCATGCTCAGCTATCCCTGTGTCCTCTTAAAGGCATGTCTGCAATGACCAGGAGACCTCCAACTGGGTCCCACCTCTTACAGGTCCACCATAACTACTCACAATGGTGCTGTGATGAGAATGAAACCACAAACAGCCTTCAGGGTTCACAAGATAGCCCATGGAAACTAGGAAACATAAAGCCGAACAAGGGGGCTAGGAGATAGCTTAGCAGGTAAAACTCTCACCTTGCAAGCACAAGCACTGGAGTTCAAATCCCCAATACCCATGTAAATTCTGGGTGGCCGTGACATCCCGCTTTTAATCCCAGCTCCAGAAGATGGAAGCAGGGATTCCCCAGAGAAAGCTGGCTAGCAAGACTAGCCTGTCAGTGGCTCTGGGCCCAAGTAACAGACCCAGTCTTGATGTGTAGGGTGGAAAATAATCAGAAAACTCACCTGGCCACAACCGCCTGCCTCCACACACGAGCACACAGGCTCACACGTTCATGCCTGCACCTGTGAACGCAGCAGAAAACCCATCTGCATGATGGCTGAAGTGCTGAACTTTGGAATTGGTGCAAGGCAGCTGCAGGACACAGAAGGGACTTTTAAATGTTAGGAAAGACTCAGGTGACATTAATGAGCCAGGTGTTCCATTTAGTAAATTAGAAACACAACTCAGAGAAACCAGGAAATTAGACGGAAGGAAGTAGAAATTCTAAGACCAAAGCTAATTGCTTAAAAACAACAACAACAAGAGAATAGAAGAGTGGGGTGGTGGATCCAGAAACAGACAGGACCCAGGACAAAGAGCCTCTGGTGAGCCATGTGGGAGACATGTGAGGAGAGTAAAGAGGGCCCTCTGGAAAGAAGGAATGGCAGAAACAGCCTTGGGAGTTTGTTAGGAGGCATGGCTTGGCCTGCCCTCTAGTATAGCTTACTTATCTTCAGAATGGGAAAGGAAAGGAGATGTACTGGCTAGTTTTATGTCAGCCTGACACAAGCTAGTCATCAGAGTGGAAGGAGCCTCAATTTGAGGAAATGCCTCCATGAGATTGAGCCGAAGTGTATTTTCTTAATTAGTGATCAGTGGAGGAGGGTCCAGCCCATGGTGGGTGGTGCCGTCCCTGCTGGTGGTCCTGGATTCTACTAGAAAGGAGGCTGAGCTAGCCAAGGTAAGCAAGTCAGTAAGCAGCACTCCTCCCTGACCTCTGCATCAGCTTTTGATCCCAGGTTCCAGCCCTGCTTGAGTTCCTGTCCTGACTTCCTGTGGTCATGAACAGCAATGAGGAGGCTTAAGCTAAGTAAACCCTTTCCTCCACAGCTTGCCTTTGGGTCATGGTGTTTTGTTGCAGCAATAAAAGCCCTAACTAAGACAGAAGCCTGGGCCCTGAGAGACGGATGGTATGACTGGGAAAGGCCCTGGCTGCAAGTCTAACACCCCGAGTTTACTGCCAGAGCATGCATGGGTAGAAGGGAAGAGCCGACTCCACAAAGATGTTCTCACACGTCCGTGTATACGAAACGAGCACACACACACACACACACACACACACACACACACACACACACACACACACACGATAAGTGAAAAGCGAAGTAATCATGACACTTAGCCCGAATAACTATATTAAAAACAAGAACTCAGTCAGGTATTTAAAATCTACTCTGAGCCGGGCGGTGGTGGCGCACACCTTTAATCCCAGCACTCGGGAGGCAGAGGCAGGAGGATCTCTGTGAGTTCGAGGCCAGCCTGGTCTACAGAGAGAGTTCCAGGACAGCCTCCAAAACAATACAGAGAAACCCTGTCTTGTAAAACCAAAAAAAAAAAAAAAAAATCTACTCTGTGGTTTTGACAGGCAAGGAAGGACTGGTACTCCTGAGCAGAGACTGGGAAGTTGTTGAAGGCACAGGGCTGAAGGCAGATGGGCTGTTGTCAGCCTCTGCTCCCTGCTCTTAGGTCTCCCAGGTGCTCCAGCAGAGGGAGGGAGGGAGAGTGAGCTGCCAGCCAAAACCTAGGAAGGGGGCCTGAAGGGAAGGAAGAAAGTGTCATAATGGAACCTTTGTATGCTACTATTAAAAAGTAATTGAGGGCCAGGAATGTGGCTCAGTGGTCAGAGTACATGCTGAGCCACATTCCTAGCTATCCACGTGCCAGCCACAGTACTAGCACCACCTATGCCAGTGTGGTGGCATCTGGCTCCTTTCTGGGACAGCTCCAACATGCTCAGTGACCCCGGCCCTGGCTCCTTTCTGGGACTGCTCCAACATGCTCAGTGACCCTGGCCCTGTTGTCCCTTCTAGGGCATCATTGCAGAAGAGAACAAGAACCTGCAGCCCCAGGGGGACGAGGACCCGGGAAAGTTTAAGGAGGCGGAGCTAAAGATGCGGAAGCAGTTCGGCATGCCAGACGGCGAGAAGCTGGTCAACTACTACTCCTGTAGCTTCTGGAAGGGCCGAGTGCCGAGGCAGGGCTGGCTCTACTTGACCGTCAACCACCTGTGCTTCTACTCCTTCCTGCTGGGGAAGGAGGGTGAGGACGGCAGAGGCCTTGTTTAGTTCCCTCCTCATACCCAGCTCCCTGTGCCCTCCCCTCCCTGAGCTCACCGCCCCTCCCTGAGCTCCCCTCCCCTCCCTGTGCCCTCCCCTCCCTGAGCTCACCACCCCTCCCTGAGCTCACCGCCCCTCCAAAGTGCTCACATTCCTAGTGCGTTTCCCTCCCCTCTACACCCAGGTGGTGTGTCTCCCCCAGCCCCACATGCCACCTCACTACCTGTGATGAGAGCATGCGGGCCACACCTGCGCCTGGCAGCTCTTGTGTCCACAGCCCACTGTTGGCTTTTGCAGCAACTAAGGCCTCCTGCTTCTCATCTCCGGTGTTGTGCTCAGTGGCACATCTTTTTTTTTTTTAATTATATATATACAGTCTTCTGCCTGCATGCCAGCGGAGGGCACCAGATCTCATTCAAGGTGGTTGTGAGCCACCATGTGGTTGCCGGGAATTGAACTCAGGACCTCTGGAAGAACAGTCAGTGCTCTTAACCGCTGAGCCATCTCTCCAGCCCCCCACATCTTCCTTAAGTGCTTTGAGATTTTGAGAGCCTCAGGTGTATGCCCCTGTCACCTCCTAAAGGTCTCTCCCCGCAGAATACCCTGGCCTCGGAGGCAAGCTGCAATCCAGCATAGCTGTCCGGCTCCAGGCAGGTGTCGGCACCAGCTCCTGAGCCCCCAACCTCCATGAACTCCTCCTGAGCCCCCCAACCTCCGTGAACTCCTCCGAGCCCCCCAACCTCCGTGCACTCCTCCTGAGCCCCCCCTCCCTCCGTGCACTCCCTGTCCCGCTCCTGCCCTACTGTTTACCTGTCAAGACCGCGGTGGCCCGTCACCTTCTCTAGGAGGCCGGTGTCTTGCTCTGTGCCAGTCTTACCGTACTGTGACTTGGTTCTACCCAGTGGGGCCCCTCGAGGCCAGAGTCTTAGCTAGTTCTTCTCTGGTTTCCTTTACGTCTTCACCCACTGACTAAGGTTAGGCTTGGAGCGCGTGAACCCCATGGGCAGGTGCCTCCTCGTGCCTCACATATCTTAGCATGACTAGGCTCAGGCGTGGAGGGAGGAAGCAGCCCAGGGGCGGTTCGAGAGCAGTGGGGGTTCTCACCTTGTCACTTGTAACGGATGGTGTGCTGTCCCTGTTGTCGTCAGTGAGCCTGGTAGTGCAGTGGGTGGACGTCACACGCCTAGAGAAGAACGCCACTCTGCTCTTCCCCGAGAGTATCCGTGTGGACACCCGGGACCAGGAACTGTTCTTCTCCATGTTTCTTAACATTGGTGAGACCTTCAAGCTCATGGAACAGCTGGCCAACTTGGCCATGCGACAGCTGCTGGACAGTGAAGGTTTCTTGGAGGACAAGGCCCTGCCTAGGCCCATCCGGCCACATAAGAACATCTCGGCTCTAAAGCGGTATGTCGCCCTCCTGAGGAGTGGGGAATCCCACAGCAGCGAGAATCGTCCCCTTGGGCTAGGTCCACTAACACTGCCGGGTGTCCAGCACATGCCCTCATGGGCCCACTACTTGACAAGGAAACCAACAGAAAACCATGGCAGTGTGGTGTATTGGGAGAGCCACAAATGTCACCATGGGGAAGAAGTCTTCCTTGTGTGGGGAGTAGTCTCACTGTCTCCTGGTCTCAGACCAGGGTGCTGGGTGACAGAGGTCCCCCAACCAAGGAACGGTGAGCTAGAATGTAAACCATCTTAGTCCGGATGTGCTGAGATTCCCAGGAGACATCTGGAAGACTGGTGAATGAGTGCTGCACATTCCTTCCTCTGTGATAGGTGTGTGTGTGTGTGTGTGTGAGAGAGAGAGAGAGAGAGAGAGAGAGAGAGAGAGAGAAGAGGAGGAGTATGTGAGTGTGTGTCAGTCCTAGAGCTCAAGGCTAGCAAAGGAGACAAGCCCTATGTAGAGCTCTGAGGTCACTGCCTTTCTGCCCAGGAATGACTGGACTGAAGAATGGGTCAAGGTGGCCAGCTCAGCGGATCATTTCTGTTTGGGCCTCAGGTATTAGCCTACAGGAAACTCACTAATTTGACTGAGATTGCAGAAGTTTCCTTGGCTCTATTGCCAGGGTATGTGCTGCTGGACTCAAACACTGGTGTTTGGAGAACTCATCTCAGACAGATTACTTCCTAGGCTGCCCCCCTCCTCCAGGTGTAGGCCCATAGTGCACCAGATTCTTGGTCAGGATGTTGTGCAAAGATGTCACTCTCCTGATGGGAGTGACAAGGTGACCATCCAGAAAGATAAGCAGTGCTGGAAGCTGGCAGGCAGTGTCCCACCCTGTGAGTCTGGGTACATGCTCAGGCTCTGGTTAGGGTGCCAGAAGCTGGAGGCAGATGAAGCTCTCTTAGGACCTAGGAAGATACGTCTCTGTGGACATAGATATGTCTCTTAGGACCTAGGAAGATACATCTCTGTGGACATAGATACGTCTCTTAGGACCTAGGAAGATACGTCTCTGTGGACATACCCTGGGGACAAGCAAGACCCGGCCACCATCCATAACTACCACACATTTCTGTTCAACGAGAGCCAGCATGCATTTTGGATTTAACTCTACTGCTCCTTGCTGGGCATCCATCTGGGTTTCAAAGCAGGATTAGCTAGCTCTTCCCTGAAATAGCCTCAGGACCCATGTCTTGCTGGGCTGGAGCCAAGCAGGATACAAACAACTCCAAGAACTGCCTGTCCTTCAGTACCAAGTGGCAGAGCTTCTAAGTACTATTTCAAATCATCCAGCCTCAAGGGAACATTATGTTATGTCACTCCTGCTGGGTTTATAAAAACCACATGTTGGCCAGGCAGTGGTGAGTTTTAATGCTAGCACTCAATAGGCAGAGGCAGGCAAATCTCTGTGAGTTTGAGGCCAGCCTGATCTACAAAGCAAATTTCAGGACAGCCAGAACTGTTACACAAGAAACCCTGTCTCAAAAAATTTTTTTTCTTAAGCTCCAATTCCCAGATATGACGTGCTCACTGGAAAACCCCAGAGATCTGGAATCCAGTGTGG